TATCCATTTAAAAACTGATTTTTGTTCGGTTCTTTTCGGTTACATAAGAACCGATAAACACTTGGTTTTTTTGGATGTTTGGTTTTACTCAGGACGAGAATTTTGGGAAAATAGGAAAGTTTTGTGAATGTTTGCGTAATGGGATGGGTTCATAAAATTTTCTTACCTAAAATTCTTTCCAAATGGGTAATTATTATGGATAAGGATCAACTTTAGAACATATATTTTGGGCAATTTCAGAAAATTGGGAAAATTTAGATAATTTTTTTTGAAAATTTGGATAACTTTCTGAAAATTTGAAAAAATATATTTAATTTTTAAATTTGTATACAGGTACTGCGATTATATTTTATTTGAAAAGAAAAAAAAATTGTAACATTCCGATTGAAAGAGTATTAATGTATATGTGGATAGGCTTACGATAATAGATTTGATTACCTATGTCATTAAAGTACACTTATCTTTTTGGTTACTGGTGCCAAGAGAACTGCACAATTAAGGATGCTTGAGCTGAAGTTGGACTAGGATAGAGATCTTCCGAGAAGTGATTCCTGAAATTGTGTGAGTGAGGACAAAGCATGGAAAAAAATAATGTGGTGATTGCAAGGTCAGTATATCATAACTTTCGAACCTCCTGGCTACCTCACTGGCCGCCAGACAGAAGTGGAGCCCACTAATTCAAAAAAGCGTAAGTGTGCTCATTGGTAAAAGCGTTACAAAATATAATTAAATTATGAAGTAAGAGGTACAAAACTACAAATGATTTTTCTCTGTGAATGAAAATATATGAATAGTGAACTTAAGAGAAAACTAATTTTAAATTTCTTTATATCTATCCAAACTATTTCTCTATCATTTATTATTATTATTTTTAATTTTCTCAAAATTTTGTTATATTGTATACAATTATTGAATTAAAACATTGAATTTTAATGTTAATATAATCAAAAGATTTTGAAATTGTTTATTATTTTCCAAAATACAATTATATTTCATGGGTAACTATACATAATTGTGACATTAACAAAAGAACTATAAAAGACCATATATATAATTATTAATAAATATTAGAGAAATTAAATATTATTATTAGTTTATTAGAGATTTTATAGTCCTATATAATTACAGCTAACATATAACTGTATAACAAAACTATCCCCATTTAACCCGGTCTTCCTTATATTATTAATATAAATAGTCAACTATTAACCATGAAACGCCGAGACCTTAAATCTATTTCTCTGTCATCGGAGAAATGCTTAGTTAATTACTCAACTATTTGTAATCAGCACATTAAATCCTCAACTATCCGCATGCGCATAACAATTCCTTAACTAGTGGTTAACATCGCAAAATCATGATTAAATTATTTCTGAGCATTTTGGGGTAGCTTTCCCGTAACGTTTTGTACCCGTCCCAAAATTCCCATCACTTTTCCAATTACGATCAAAATAATTACCTATTTAGAATTATTTATTTTATACTAAATGGGAATGGGGAGACAAAAACTATGAGATCTGATAATCGGATTCTCTTTTAGGAATTGTTTAACAATTTTTATTTTTTTTCTGTTTTCGTTATGTACCCGTGAATTCTTGTCTATCACCGCCTTGTACCCGTTAATTTTTATCTATCACAAATAATTATGTAATTAAATAAGCATTTTTAAGAACTGATAAATACCCATTTAAAAACTGATTTTTGTTCGATTCTTTTTGGTTACATAAGAACCGATAAACACTTGTTTTTTTGGATGTTTGGTTTGACTAACGACGAGAATTTTTGGAAAATTGGGAAAATTTTGTGAAAGTTTGCGTAATGGGATGGGTTCATAAAGTTTTTTTACCTAAAATTCTTTCCAAATGGGTAATTATTTTTGATAAGGATCCACTTTAGAACGTATATTTCCGGTAATTTCAGAAAATTGGGAAAATTTGGATATTTTTAAAAATTTGGATAACTTTTTGAAATTTCGAAAAATATATTTAATTTGTAAATTTTTATACGGGTAATGCGGTTATATTCTATTTGAGTGGAAAAAAAATTGTAACATTCCAATTTAAAGAGTATGAATGTATATGTGGATAGGCTTAAGATAATTGATTTGATTACTTATGTCATCAAAGTGTACTTATTTTTTCGGTTACTGGTACCAAGAGAGCTGCACAATTAAGGATGCTTGAGCTGGAGTTGGACGAGGGTGAATGATCTTCCGGGAAGTGATTCTTGAAATCGTGTGAGTGAGGACAATGCATGGAAAAAGATAATGTAGTGATTGCAAGGTCAGTATATCATGACTTTCGAACCTCCTGACTAACGCACTGACCGCCAGACAGAAGTGGAGCCCACTAATTTAAAAAAAACGTAAGTGTGCTCACTGGTAAAAGCGTTACAAAAATATAATTAAATTATAAAGTAAGATATACAAAACTATAAATGATTTTTTTTCTCTGAATGAAAACATATAAATAGTGAAATTAAGAGAAAACTAATTTTAAATTTATTTATATCTTTCCATTACTATTTCTCTATCATTTATTATTATTATTTTTGATTTTTTCATTCTTTCAAAAAAATTTATATTCTATACAATTATTGAATTAAAACATTAAAATTTTAATGTTAATATAATCAAAAGAGTTTGAAATTGTTTATTATTTTCTAAAATACAATTATTTATCATGGGTAACTATACAAAAATGTGACATTAACAAAAGAACTATAAAAGACCATATATATAATTAGTAATAAATATCAGAGAAATTAAATATTATTATTAGCCTATTAGAGATTTTATAGTCTTATATATTTACAGCTAACATATAACTGTATAACAAAACTACCCCCATTTAACCCGGTCTTCCTTATATTATTAATATAAATAGTCAACTTTATACCTTGAAACGTCGAGACTTTAAATCTATTTCTCTGTCATCAGAGAAGTGCTTAGTTAATTTCTCAACTATTTGTAATCAGTACATTAAATCCTCAACTTTCCGCATGCATATAATAATTTCTTAACTAGTGGTTAACTTCACAAAATCATGATAAAATTATTTCTGAGCATTTTGGGATAACTTTCCCGTAAGATCTCGTACTCGTCCTAAATTTCCCGTCACTTTTCCAATTACGATCAAAATAATTACTTATTTAGAATCATTTATTTTATACTAAATGGGCATGGGGAGACAAAAACTATGAGATCTGGTAATCGGATTCTCTTTAAGGAATTGTTTATCAATTTTTATTTTTTTTTTGTTTCCGCCTTGTTTTCGTGAATTCTTGTCTATCATCGCCTTGTACCCGTTAATTTTTGTCTATCACAAATAAGTGGAAAATTAAATAAGTATTTTTAAGAACTGATAAATACCCTTTTATATACTGATTTTTGTTCGCTTCTTTTCGGTTACATAAGAATCGATAAACACTTGGTTTTTTTTGGATGATTGGTTTGGCTCAAGACGAGAATTTTGGGAAAATTGGGAAATTTTTGTGAAAGTTTGCGTAATTAGATGGGTTCATAAAATTTTCTTACCTATAATTCTTTCCAAATGGGTAATTATTTTGGATAAGGATCCACTTTAGAACGTATATTTCGGGTAATTTCAGAAAATTAGGAAAATTTGGATATTTTTGAAAATTTGGATAACTTTTTAAAAATTTAAAAAAATATATTTAATCTTTAAATTTTTATACGGGTAATGCGGTTATATTTTCTTTGAGAGGAAAAAACATTGTAACATTCCAATTTAAAGAGTATGAATGTATATATGGATAGGCTTAAGATAATTGATTTGATTACTTATGTCATCAAAGTGCACTTATCTTTTCGGTTACTAGTACCAAGAGAACTGCACAATTACGGATGCTTGAGCTGGAGTTGGACTAGTATGAATGATCTTCCAGGAAGTGATTCTTGAAATCGTGTGAGTGAGGACAATGCATAGAAAAAGATAATATGGTGATTGCAAGGTCAATATATCATGACTTTCGAACCTCCTGACTAATACACTTACCACAAGGCAGAAGTGGAGCCCACTAATTTGAAAAAACGTAAATGTGCTCACTGATAAAAACATTACAAAAATATAATTAAATTATTAAGTAAGAAGTATAAAGCTACAAATGATTTTTTTTCTATGAATGAAAACATATGAATAGTAAACTTAAGAGAAAACTAATTTAATTTTCATTATATCTATCCATTATAATTTTCTATCATTTATTATTATTATTTTTGATTTTTTCATTCTTTCAAAAATCTGTTATATCATATACAATTATTGAATTAAAACATTAAATTTTAATATTAATATATCAAAAAAATTTGAAATTTTTATTATTTTCCAAAATTTAATTATCTATCACAAGTAACTATACAAAAATATGACATTAACAAAAGAACTATATAAGACCATATATATAACTAGTAATAAATATCAGAGAAATTAAATATTAATATTAATCTATTAGATTTTATAGTCCAATATATTTACAGCTAACATATAACTGTATAACAAAACTATCTCCATTTAATCCGGTCTTCCTTTTCCTTATGTTATTAATATAAGCCGATATATGCATACATATCTACGTAGTCGGGAAAAAATATACATAAATACGTATAGATATTTTTTTCCTTTTTTTATTTTTGTAATTCAACTTTAAACCACACAAACAAATAAAGTTATCCCAACCTAGCATAGAAATTATCTTTTCCTTTTTCGACATTCTGGCCATGGTACATGCCCAAATACCGATGCCCCCTCGACCTAAAAAAAAAAAAAACTTGATAGATATAATCCAGAAAGAATAGAATTATACAAAAAACAAGTTTATAAATCTTCAAAAATCCTTAGATTCAACCTTCTCTAGTGTCTCTCTCGAATTTGCATCCACGGATCAACAAAGGTGTGTGAACCTTCCATGCCCAAAAATTCAATCTTTAGGGTATAAACATTTGCTTCTTTTTTTTTTGCTTCGATACTTATGTCACATACATGATGTGTGTGTTTCCCCACTTTATAATTCTTTTTTTATTTTGCATTATCGTTTGTTTTTGGTTTGGTTCCTCTTCCGTGACCTAGCCTTTGATTCCGCCATGCCTGTTTCCATGCGTCTCCTAACAAGTTTATTGTGTTACTTGACCTTAGAGTAAATATTAGATCTTTATGCGAAAGATTGCTTCTTTTGCGCATTTTAACATTTTTGGGCACCTGGGTTTGATTGGTCATGTTATTCAATCTTCAAATTGGTATTACTTCTCTTCTGTGTCTTTGATCTATGGACCCACCGTTATATATACATATCTAACTCTCTATAAATCGAGCCCAATATTGGGTTTTATCAATTACTTCTTTGTAATGCAGGGTTTAGATCAATTCTTGATTTTTGATTTTGTGGAATTTTCGTGGGTATCATTAGCCAACTGTTCATCCCCATTGTCGAGTTGCTTCTTCATAAGATCTGATCATCTAGCTGAATTAGTAGAATCATTGTTCATATAACAATTGTCTTCGTAGGTCTGAAAAAAAATCTTACCTTTTAAGAAATTTCTAATGGTTCAACATATTGATTAGCTAAAAATTGATATTTGGTTATATGTTGTTTACTTCTTCTAAATTGATTTTTTTTTTTTTCCTCAGAATTCTGGGTTTAAAGAAGTGAACTAGCCAATTGTTCATCCCCAATCAGCCGTTACTTACTTCATAAGGTCTGATCCTCTAGGTGAATCAATGTTCATGTAATAATTGTGTTCGTATGTCTGAAAAAAATATTACCTTTCAAGAAATTCTGATGGTTAACATACTGATTCATATTGATTAGCTAAACATATTGATATTTGGTTATATGTTGTTTACTTCTTCTACATTGTTTTTTTTTTTGTTTTTTTCCTCAGAATGCGTGAGTGATTTGATCAAATTCAGGGTTTAAAGAAGTGAATTATCTATGGAAATTATATCTTGTTCGAGCTCACAACGCGTTAAACAAGTCGAAACTCATGGTGGCATTGTAATGGATGAGTTGCTACTTGACGTTGATGTTGAGGAGGCAACAACAGGTAGTGAACTGTTGTTGAAGCCTGAGTCTGATGATTTAAACGCAGAGAAGCATAGTACCGATTTAGTTATGGAAGAAACCGAAACTCTTGGTAACAATAATGGAGAAGGAGATGACTCATCATCTCCTTCTGAGCCTAAATGGCTACAACAAGATGAACCTATAGCTTTGTGGGTGAAGGTGAACAATAACAATAACTCTAAATCTCTCTCTCTCTCTCTCTCTTGGAGTTTTGGAATGTAATATTATTCATTTGGTTAACGTTTTTGTGTGTTTATACAGTGGAGAGGCAAATGGCAGGCGGGAATCCGCTGCGCCAAGGCGGATTGGCCATTAACGACGTTGAGAGGGAAACCAACTCATGATCGGAAAAAGTACTTTGTGATATTTTTTCCGCACACAAAGAACTATTCGTGGGCGGATATGCAGCTTGTTAGGTCCATAGACGAGCTCCCTGATCCTATTGCCTATAAGTCACACAAGATTGGGATCAAAATGGTTAAAGATTTAACCGTTGCTCGGCGCAACATCATGAGGAAGCTCACCATTGGGATGCTCAATATTGTTGACCAGTTTCACTCTGAGGTATAATTATAATCTTGGAACTAAAGTGTTGATCCGGATTGCATTTGGTTTTAAGCTCTTTAAATGTTGCAGGTTGTAGTTGAATCAGCTAAGGATATTATAATGTGGAAAGAATTTGCAATGGAAGCTTCTCGAAGCACAAGTTATCAAGAACTTGGAAGAATGCTTGTGAAGCTTCAGAGTGTAAGCTCTCTCTCTCTCTGTGCTGTTAACTTTACAGTATTTGTTTTTGTTCCATTCTCATTTATTCATGTTTTGGCTTTGTGTCAGATGATTTTGCAACGGTACATGAATCCAAACTGGCTCGAGAACTCGTTTTCTTTATGGGTACAGAAATGTAACGATGCAGTGAATGCAGAGAGTATTGAGTTGCTGAATGAGGTAAATAGAAGATGATAGTGTCATTGACATGTAGTGTTGAGAGATTTTGTTCTTACTTGCTTTATGTGGTTGTTGTGTGTATAGGAGTTTGACAATTGTATCCAATGGAACGAAGTGAAATCCATATCAGATTCGCAGATGCAACTTATGGTGTTATCAGAATGGAAAACATGGAAGCACGACGTTACAAAATGGTTCTCTATATCACGACGTAGCGTCGGAGAGATAGCGCAGCAGGAGAGTAGTAGCAAAACTGTCTTTGATTCAGATGTTCAGGCTAGCCGAAAAAGACCAAAGCTCGAGATTCGTCGCGCTGAGACAACACAGGCATCACAGATGGAGACTGACGTTTTGACTGCAACTGGCTCGGAGTTTTTTAGTTTCCGAGACGACAACGCAATGAACGATGAGAACGCGGTAACGAACACACCAGAGAATGGTTTGGACCTTTGGGATGGTATTGTTGTTGAAGCTGCGAGACCAAAAGAGGCTTCTCACTCGCAAGTCCTAAACATAAACGAATCAGTTGTGAAGAAACCGTTTGGTTCGGGGAACAAGAGTCAGCAATGCATAGCGTTCATCGAAGCGAAAGGGAGACAATGCGTGAGGTGGGCTAACGAAGGAGATATCTACTGTTGTGTTCATTTAGCTTCTCGTTTCACCACCAAATCCACAAAGAACGAGGCATCTCCGGCGGTTGAAACGCCGATGTGCGGTGGAGTTACCGTTCTTGGTACCAAATGCAAGCACAGGTCTTTACCTGGATTGTTGCATTGCAAGAAACACCGTCCTCACACGATTGATTCGTCGTCTCTTCCGGTGAAAAGAAAAGTGTCGGAGATTATGTCGACCTTGGAAACAACAACTCAGTGTCAAGATTTGGTGCCTTTTGGAGAAACTGAAGGAAGTTTCCCCAATGGAACAACGAGCTTCACTGAGATGTTTGAGCATTGTAGCAATGAGGATAACATTTGTGTAGGTTCTTGCTCAGAGAACAGTTACGTTTCTTGCAATGAGTTATCGACGAAGCACACGTTGTACTGCGAGCAGCACCTTCCTAACTGGCTTAAGCGCGCTAGGAATGGGAAGAGCCGGATAATTTCGAAAGAAGTGTTTGTAGATCTTCTTAGGGGTTGTTCATCGCGTGAGGAGAAACTGCCTCTGCATCAAGCCTGTGATATTTTCTACAAACTCTTCAAAAGTCTGTTATCTTTGAGAAACTCGGTCCCAATGGACCAACAGCTCGAGTGGGCGATATCAGAAGCTTCAAGAAACGCTGACGCCGGAGTTGGTGATTTCTTGATGAGGTTAGTGTCACATGAGAAGGAGAGATTAGCTAGGATATGGGGTTTCAGTGTTGGTGGTGCTGATGAAGAAGATGCATCGATGTCGGATTCTCCTAATGGAATGCTTTCCATCACTAATGGTATAGGAGAAGAAGAAACCAGAGACGAAGAGAAATGGTCGTTTGGTGGATTTGCTTGTGCTATTTGTTTAGATTCTTTTGTGAACAAAACGCTTTTGGAATCTCACGTGGAGGAGAGACATCATGTGCAGTTTGCGGAGAAGTGTATGCTTCTTCAGTGTATTCCTTGTGGAAGCAACTTTGGAGATAAAGAACAGTTGCTTTTACATGTTCAAGCTGTGCATCCTTCTGAGTACATGACGACGCTAACAGTTGCTCCTGAGTCTTCTTCTCAAAAGCTTGAAGCAGGAAGCAATTCACAAATGGTTCTGAGCCAAAACAAAGAGAGTACAAGCGGCGTGCATAAATATGTTTGCAAGTTCTGTGGTCTAAAATTCAATTTATTACCTGACCTTGGCCGTCACCATCAGGCGGAACACATGGGACCGAGCCCAGTCAGCTCTCGTGGTCCGAAGAAAGGGTTAAGGTTTAATACCTACAGAATGAAGTCTGGTAGGCTTAGCCGTCCGAATAAGTTCAAGAAGAGCCTTGGAGCAGTCTCATATAGGATAAGAAACAGGGCTGGTGTGAATATGAAGAGGAGGATGCAGCAAGGCTCTAAACCACTCGGCAACGAAGTAAAAACCGGATTGTCGCCGCCTCCTAGTGATAGTAGAGATTTCGATAGATCAACAGATGCTCATTGCTCTGTAGTTTCGAATATATTGTTCTCAAAGATTCAGAAAGCGAAAAATCGTCCTAATAACCTCGATATCCTCTCTGCTGCTCGTTTAGCTTGCTGTAGGGTGAGTCTTGAAGCCTCGTTGGAGGCTAAGTTTGGGGTTTTGCCTGAGCGGATGTATCTCAAGGCAGCAAGACTCTGTGGTGAGCAAGGCGTGCAAGTGCTATGGCATCAAGAAGGTTACGTATGCTCTAACGGATGTAAGCCTTTTAAAGACCCAAATCTTCTATCTCCCTTGACCCCGCGGCAAGAGAATGATCGGTTTCGGATATCTATGGACGCCGGAGAACATTCTAACACCGCGTTGGAGATTGAAGAGTGTCATTGTATCATGGAGGCTCAACATTTCAGTAAGAGACCGCTTGGAAAAACCGAGGTTTTGTGCAAAGACATAAGCTTTGGTAAGGAACCGGTTCCGATATCTTGTGTCGTTGATGGTGATCATTTGGATTCCGCTGAGAGGCCTTGGGAAGGTTTTACTTATGTTACAAAGTCAATACATAATCCTTCAATGGATCTTGCAAAGGAGGTATCTTTCTTGCTCTAGCACGTCGTGTTTCTTGAAACAGAGTATTGTGACTCTTCTTCTTGTTGTAACCTTGTTGTTTGCTGTTTATGATGCAGAACCTGCAACTCCGGTGTGGATGTCGTGGTTCGGTATGCTCGCCTGTAACCTGTGATCATGTGTACCTTTTCATGAACGATTTCGAGGAAGCTAGAGACATATACGGAAAGTCAATGAGGTGTAGATTCCCATATGATGACAAAGAACGGATCATCTTGGAGGTAATATTTGGTTTGCTTATATATTCAAGTGAAGACTTTGGTGGTAATTTCTGAAAATTTTCCAGGAGGGTTATCCTGTTTATGAATGCAATGGACTCTGCGGATGCTCAAGAACATGTCAGAATCGGGTTTTGCAGAATGGAATTCGCACGAAACTCGAAGTTTTTAAAACAGAGAGCAAGGTGTGAATCTTTAGCCATCATCTTGTTTCTCTATCTGTCTTGCTTCAGTTCCAATATCCACGACTGATTTTGATCTGACAGGGATGGGGATTACGAGCTTGTGAACATATATTACGTGGCACATTCGTCTGCGAGTACATTGGAGAAGTTCTTGATCAGCAAGAAGCAAGCAAGAGGCGAAGCCAGTAAGCATAGCTTTCTTCTTTTCACCTTTTTGTCTTAAAAATCTTGGAGCCGAACTTAAAGATCTGCTATTTGATTTCATAGGTATGGCAAAGAAGGTTGTAGCTACATACATGACATTGATGCTAATATCAACGACATTGGTAGATTGATCGAAGGAGACACCGATTATGTTATTGATGCTACTACTCATGGAAACGTCTCTCGATTCATCAACCACAGGTTGGTTTAAAGGAAAAACAAAACTTTTGGGTTATAGTATAATCATAGACTGATGATTTCGTTGTACTTTGTTCGATCTCGAAGCTGCTCGCCGAATCTTGTTACTCACCAAGTTGTTGTGGAAAGCATGGATTCCACTCTTGCTCATATCGGTCTATACGCTAGTGAAGATGTAAGGCTCTTCTTCTTCTTCTCTGTTTGCTTGAAAGAAGTGTTGGACCAAATTGATCTTCTTTTGTTATGTGTTTGTAAAACAGATAGCTGCAGGAGAGGAGATCACTCGAGACTATGGACGCAGACCGGTAACAACATCTGGAGAAGAAACTGCACATATATGTCATTGTAGAGCTATAAATTGCAGAGGTCGTTTGTGTTAGATTTTGGTTTTTTTAGGTACATTCTTTGCAGATTTGTTTTAATAATTTCCTTTCAAGTTTATTTTTTTCTTTTTTTTCCATTGAATATTTTAGACAGCTTTGGACTATTTTGTTTTGCAAGTTCTTTTCGTTATTTCATCATTGATTATGTGGAAAATGTAACATTATATAAAAGTATCAAATCTTGATTTCTCTCTTTTCAATTGTGAAGAACCAAATGGGAAGTCCATAGCTAATGATTATGTGGAATTGTAACATTATATAAAAAAATATCAAATCTTTAGACATGCGGCTTGAAGAATATTCTGTCATGTTGCACTAAGATTAATGATCTGAAATGGGAGCTATGGAACTGAGAAGGCGAATTCTCCAGTCCAAGATGTGTGCACTGAGGATTAATGATCTGAAATGGGATTTATGGAACTGGGAAGGCGAATTCTCCAGTCCAAGATGTGTTCGGTTTTAATGACCCTGGACATATGCCAAATCTTCTAACTCTGAACTATTGCCTTTCGGATAAGTATGGCGTTGTGAGATTGGACTCACTTGTGCAAGCGAAACTCTGTCTAGTTCCAACAGTGAACCATATCTTTAAAGAGGTAATTGATGAAGATGCCCAATTCTATAGAGTTGATCATTGGACTCCCCCAATGTCAAACTTTTGATGTTAAGCTCGCCTTATACTCTGATGGTAAGTGATGTTTATTGTTTTTCCCTAACTGTTCAATTTCTTGTTTTTAGGTCTTAAATATATTTTGTAATGCTTTTCTAAAATTTCCAAATTTAGTGGAGCTTGACATAGACTCGTCAAACTTTAGATGTTAGAGATTTTTCCCAATTTTTATTGTAGATGCAGCCATTCCTGAAATCAATAAGAATTAAATCTTGAATTAAAAACATAACAAAACTTTTTTTAAAAATGAAAGTATATTTAATATAAAAAACAATCTACAAAACAAAATTTTCAAAAATACTATGACTTTTGAATTCTATTCATTTTTTCTTATTGAGAATGCAAATTCTATACAAAATCTATAATAAAAGATTAGCTTTTATTGATTAGATCATTTTATTAACATTTTGTGTTATTTGAATTTGAACTTTTAATAATTTTAACTCATAAAATCTTCAAGATACAATGAATATCACTAGAATTTTAAAAATTATTATAGTAAAATATTTGAGATGACGAGCTATTTCCTCCTCATAACTATCATATAACACTATATCTACATGAAATTTGGTCCTCATTTTAACATGTTCACCAAAGAAAAAAAAAAGTTTGGTCCTTGTTTAAAGTTCCAAATCAAATTCACCTGTTCAAAAGTTTAAAACCAATTGTATCATAGGTTTGAATTTTTTGGTTACTTCCAAACCAATCTCAAACCAGCTGCAGCCAATACCAAACCGACTAAAAATCTGATTGAATGGAATTAAGTAATTAACCATGACCAAATATGACTACATCTGACCCGTCGAATCTTTTCTCTCTGCCGCCGTACCTATCGTCTTCCACCTCTTTAACCGCAGTCAAACACTTCAAAAGTCCATCATGATTAATCAAAACAGAGAGACCTATCGATTCAGTCGTTGTTTCTACTTGAAACACATATATTTCTTGATGATTTATCTCCCGTGAACATTGTTCATTTGATCTTGCACATTGTTCAGCTCATGTAAATCTCTTATCTGCAAAGACATTGTCATCAATTAATGAATCCAGAAGGTTTCAGTCTCATATTTTTGGTTTGTCTTCAACATTGGCTGAATGTTCGTCTTTTACAGGTTTGATCACCACATCTACTTTCAAAATTTTGTCGGCTAATCTAATGAATAACAAATCGTCAAGCTTCCTACATGTGAATATCTTTATGAGTTTCTCTTTGAACCTCTCCAAACCCAGATTTTACCATAGCCTCTTCATCATCAAAATCCTTGGAAGTATGAGAACTTCTTAATACTTTACGAGAGCCATTGATCTCGGACACATAAAGAAGTAATCGACCACAAATCTTCAACAATCCTCATTGGTTTTGCAGATTTTATGGATTCTTGACTTCAAAATCGATTGGTCCGCTTGAAATTGTAAAAATCCAGAATTGGTGAATTTTTTAAAAAATTGGGTAAATGAATAAATGATGAGTAGAACGTGTGGGGAAGTTCAAAGCTAACAAAAATAGAATTTCTTACGCTCTCAGGCACAAGGCCCGATGCTGCAGTGACCACCTTGTTACCCCCTGAGTAAAGAGAATGGCTGTCGCAACTGTCCCCTTAACCAAAGGTTAAAGTGGAACATCACCGCAACTGCCTCTTTAACTGTTGGGTAAAGTGGATCATCACCGCAACATTTTCTCCGGTGTACCTGTGTGTAAGGATCCTCTGCTTCCGGTCAACCACCTCGAAGATAACTGGCTTGCTCTAAGCACTCCTACGTTACATCAAAGTTGGAAGAACAGAAGAAAGCTTTTGGAAAATCAGATCTCAGCCTCCCCTGCAGCCGCCTGCAGTTTTCCCCTCCGTCTCTAGGGTCTTTCATACCTCACCTCTGAGGTCCTATACCACGGTTCCTCTGGCTTAGCGCAACTCAAGTACGCTCAACAGCTTCACCATGGCTCACAGGGCATCTCGAGCTGAAAAGGAAAAGTGGGTGGAAGATTCCAGAAGAACCTCTAGGAGACCTCCGGTTCGCATCCCAGAAAGTGACAACTCAAGACTCATTGCCAAACACAAGCTTACTCTCATCGGTAGAGTGACCAACCCCAGGATGCAAAACACAAGGGCTCTGGTCGACTTCTTCTTACAACACTGGAGCGTTGTGGGAACCATTACGGGTCGAGACCTAGGACCAAATCTTTTCCAGTTTTGCTTCGAAACAGAGCAGGATCTACAAGCCATCCTCAATAAAGCTCCATTTCATTTCAAAAAGTGGATGGTCATAATCCAGCGGTGGGAGCCCATAGTCTCCGAAAGCTTTCCATGCCTTATCCCTTTCTGGATCAAGATCCACGGGATCCCTTTGCACTACTGGTCGGACCAAACCATCAGAACCATTGGGTTTGAGCTCGGGCTCTTTGAAGATCGGGATGTGGAAAATGGACGTATTCGGGTCTACGTCAACGGCCTTCGCCCCTTGGAGATGAAGCTAGACATTGAGCTTCCAACGGGAGAATTAAAGAAAGTGGAGTTGGAGTATGAAAAGCTTGAAAAGCACTGTTTTAACTGCCTCTCACTTTCACATGAAAAGAAAGACTGCCCCCGTTTGCAGTCACCGGCGGAAACCCCTTCCAGCTCCATTGGCATTAGCCAACATAACACTCTGGAGAAGATAGAAGCAGACAGGCGAAGACAGGATGAAAAAAGGGCTCAACGCTTCCCTCGACAGGATCAAACCAGGAGATCCTACTACGCCCCGATTCGAGAGGACAGAAGCAGGGACTCAAACTCTCATCCTTCCAGAACTGATACAAGGGTCTATTCATCTCGAGAGAGGCGATATCAGGACCAGAAGTATCCTCGGCACCGTTCAGAGGACAGAGCGGGGAAGAGGGACTTCCATACTGCATTGCTTCGCTCCCCCTCTAAAACATCTGGAATGGGTCAAGACAACTCCTCTGCCTCCAGGCCCCAAGGAGAGAAGGAGAAACATTCTGGAAAATATATTCCAACCGCCAGTAGAAGCTCCTTCTCTCGTCCTTCCCAGTCGATTCACTCACAAGTGTCTCACACACCTCCCCCGAGACCCCAAAGAGAGAGAATAGACACCCCCCCCCCCCCCCCCCCCCCAACAGACAACAACGGAAGGGGCCATCTGATCTAGAGAAGACGTCCAGCCTTAGCACGACTATCACTCCCTTTTACAAAAGATCATGCCCCTATCACGAGCGAGGGGCAATCTGATACTGGACGACTTCAGGAGGTGGAGGTACGCTACCTGGAGGACACTCTGGGAGAGCATCTAGGAGCCACAGTGACGGGACCCTCGGGCTCACGGACTCCCATCCCAGAAAACGAAGGGAGGAACCTGTCACCAATCAGAACTCTCAGCGAGGACCGACTGCACGTTGCCCATCGCCTTGGACCAATATCCGGGAGCTCGGAACAAATGTCGGGCTTGAGGCTAGGCGGAAGAGCTCAGCGTACCTCTACCAAACCGACTGCAAGAAAATCGGCAAGGGTAACAGATAAACGAAAAACCTCTAGGACTGCTACAAAGAAGAGAGTCAATAAAAGACCTCTTCAAGGAGTCAGCCTGAAGAAACGCAGGATTTCACGAGCCCAAAGTTCCCCAAGACGAAGACTCATAGTGGATAATTCGACACCCTTACCTCAGAATGAGGATTCCCTTGTAATGGTCCCTGTGACTGATCCTCCGATTAACATTATTCCTGCAATTAGTCGGAAGGTGGGGGATTTCCGGACCCCCCTAAACCTTATTCCTTAGCCTGTATGACCTGGAACTGCCAAGGGATTGGGAACCCCCTTACAGTTCACAGGCTAAAGGAAATTCGATCTCGATTTTCCCCAGATGTAGTATTCCTTATGGAAACAAAAAATAAAGATGAGGAAGTATTTAAGCATTTCCAGGACACGGATCTTACAAACCACTTTACGGTTCCCCCTTGTGGTTTAAGTGGAAGTCTCTCCCTCTCGTGGAAGGAGGAGGTGGATCTAGAGGTCCTGGAGTCCTCACCAAACTTCATAGACACAAGACTCCAAGCGTCGTCCGGTTCTGTTTATATCACCTTCATCTATGGCTCCCCGCAAAAGGAGAAAATAATACTTTTTTGGGAGCAACTCTCCCGGATTGGAGAAAACAGAAAGGAAGCGTGGCTGCTCTCAGGAGATTTTAATGACATCCTAGACAACTCGGAGAAGGTCGGAGGACCATTAAGGTGGGAGGGCTCGTTCGTATCCTTCCGTAGCTTTGTCACCCAAAACGGCTTATAGGATGTCCCACACTCGGGTAATTCACTCTCATGGAGAGGAACTCGTTACAATCACTTTATTCAATCTCGCATGGATAGAGCCTTGGCCAACTGCTCTTGGTCAGAAAGTTTCCCCGCGGGGAGAAGCGAATACCTCAGGTTTGAGGGCTCCGATCATCGCCCGTTGATGACTTTTTTTGACGATTCTAGACGCCACAAGAAAAGCCTCTTCCGATTCGATAGAAGACTAAGGGAGAAGCCAGAGATCCGGAAGCTTGTGGAGAAAGAATGGCCTGCTGTTAACAAAGAATCAGTGCTAACTAAAATTTGCCGTATTAGAACGAAGCTGATTGAATGGACTAAGCAACAGAATGAAAAGGCGGTAGCTCAAATCAAAGCTTCATAGGATGCTCTAGAAGTAGCCCTCTCAAAACCTTCCCCTGACACGGCTCTCATTGAGTCTCTCTCAGTTTCATTGGCACAAGCATATAAGGAGGAAGAACAGTTTTGGCGACAAAGAAGTAGGATTCAATGGCTTCAAGGAGGGGATAAGAACTCTAGCTTCTTCCACGCTGCTACAAGAGAAAGGCGAGTAAGAAACAAGCTTTCTGTAATGGAAGATGACCAGGGAAGAGCAGCCTATGACGAGAGCAAAATTGCTAGTATCGTCGCTGATCATTACAGACAGATTTTCACTTTTACGTCTAGTGATAACTTGGACATAGTCAAGGAAGCCATATCACCTTTAATCTCGGCAGAGATGAACAGGGACTTAATAAAAATCTCAGATGACCTCGAGATCAAACAAGCTGTCTTCCCGATCAACTCTGACAAGGCACCAGGGCCTGATGGTTTCTCAGCTGGTTTCTACCAATCCTTTTGGGAAATTATTGGGGCTGATGTATCTCAGGACATTCGGTTCTTCTTTGAATCAGGGTCTCTACATCGCCGCCAAAACGAGACACACGTCTGCCTAATTCCAAAAGTTAAAAGCCCGAGGAAAGTCTCGGAATACCGTCCTATTGCTCTCTGCAATTCCCATTACAAGATTATTGCCAAGATTATGACAAAACGCCTACAACCGCTTCTCCCAGCTTTAATATCTAAGCAACAATCAGCTTTTTTCCCTAAGCGCGCCATCTCAGATAATGTCCTTATCACCCATGAGGTCTTACATTTCCTTCGCACTTCAGGAGCAAAAAAGCGATGCTCGATGGCTGTTAAAACAGACATGAGCAAGGCGTATGACAGGATCGAATGGGCTTTCCTTCAGAGCGTGCTAGAAAGGTTTGGCTTTCACGATAAATGGATCGGGTGGATCATGGAGTGCGTCCGCACAGTCTCTTACTCCTTCCTTATAAACGGCTCGCCTCGCCAAAGAGTTTCTCCAGCTAGAGGCCTTAGACAAGGCGATCCTCTTTCACCATACTTGTTTATACTCTGTACAGAGGTGCTATCGGGATTATGCTCCAACGCTCAAAACAATGGCTCTCTTTCGGGAATAAGAGTTGCAAGAGGATCCCCGCCTGTAAATCACTTACTCTTTGCAGACGATACGATGTTTTTCTGCAGGAGTGATCAAGCAAGCTGCAACACGCTTAAACTGATCTTAAGTCGTTATGAAGCAGCGTCGGGGCAAAGTATTAGCCTGAGCAAATCAGCAATTACCTTTTCGGCCAAAACACCTCAAGACGCAAAGAAAAGAGTAAAGCAGGATATGCAGATCTTCAATGAGGGAGGAATCGGCAAATACTTGGGGCTCCCAGAACACTTCGGAAGGAAAAAACGAGATGTCTTTGCAAGTATAGTGGACCGCATCCGACAAAAGGCGCATAGCTGGTCTACAAAATTTCTTTCTGGTGCTGGGAAACAAATTCTCCTCAAGGCGGTTCTATCGGCGATGCCTTCCTACGCGATGTCTTGCTTCAAAATTCCCTTATCCCTGTGCAAGCAAATTCAATCGATCCTGACTCGCTTCTGGTGGGATAGCAAGCCAGACAAGAAGAAACTCTGCTGGATAGCCTGGGAAAAGTTAACGCTACCAAAAGGAGAAGGGGGCTAGGTTTCCGAGAAATAGAAGTTTTTAACGATGCGTTGTTGGCTAAGCTCTCTTGGAGAATCCTGAAAGATCCAGACTCGCTGCTTGCTCAAGTTTTATTGGGCAAATACTGTCACTCGACCTCTTTCATGGAATGCAAAGCTCACACAAACTCGTCGCATGGCTGGAAGGGCCTCCTGGCGGGAAGAGAAGTACTAAAGCGAGGGCTCGGTTGGATCATAGGGGATGGGGAAAGCACCAAAGTGTGGCGTACAAGCTGGCTTTCTACCTCTCAACCATTAGCACCTATAGGCCCTCCGACTTTTGCAAACGAGGAGATGCTTGTCAAAGATCTCCTGATGCCGAACTCCCCTACCTGGAACCTAGAGGCCATACGTCTCCATTTACCTCAGTATGAGGAATACATTCGAAAGCTCAAGCCTAGTGATCATCACTTGGCTGATGAACCCGCCTGGTTACCTGTCAAATCAGGAGAGTATTCTACTAAAACAGGCTATGCGCTCTCTAAGATCCACTCAGAGGCTAGCCCAGGTCCTCCCTTTCACTGGCTCAAATGTGTATGGCAAGTCAGAACCTCCCCCAAATTAAAGACTTTCCTTTGGAAGATCAAAAACAGAGCCCTACTGGTAGGAGAAACACTGGCCATGAGAGGCATCACAGTCGACCCTACTTGTAAAAGATGCGGAGTGACTGAAGATGAGCTCCACATTCTTCTGCTCTGCCCGTTTGCAGCGCGAGTTTGGGACAGAACCCCCGTACTTCACAAACCAACGGCCCCAGATCAACTTACACTTCCGCAGCTCCTGCAAAGCTGTTGTAGTATGATCAACCTGCCTCCCACTGGTCTGGCCTCCACCCCTCTTTATCCGTGGGTATTCTGGAACCTCTGGACTTGCCGTAACCAGCTGCTATTTGAGGATAAATCCTACACATCAGAAGAGGTGGCTGACAAGGCTTTTTCGGACGCTAAAGCCTGGCACTCGGCGCAGGAAATGGTGGCGCAGCACAAAGTTGAAAGCTCAGGACCTCGTCCTTGCCCCCCTAAAGCCAACACCAAGCCTTTGTTTTGCTTTGTAGATGCGGCCTGGGATGAAAAGACAGGCGGGAGTGGCCTAGGTTGGGTCCTAAAAGACAGCTCGGACATCACCCTATTTCAAAATTCTGGGAGTCAACAATATGTTAGCTCAGCACTTGTTGCAGAAGGGTTAGCTCTCAAAGCTGCGATTACTGATGCAGCGTCTTCAGATATAACTGAGCTGAGTTGTTACTCGGACTCAAAAAACCTTATAGCTCTTATCAATGGAAATGGCAACTCCGTTGAACTTCGAAGCATCCTCCATGACATCCGCGTGTTGAGTCGAGCCTTCTCTTTTATCAGTTTTTCCTTTATTCATCGGTTGAACAATGCCGCAGCTGACTTTGTAGCTAAGGCAGCTTTAGCTTGTACCATGAGCTCTCCCATAGTGGAAGTGTAAACTTTGTTTTTCTAATATATTCAAGGTTTGACCAAAAAAAAAAGAATAAATGATGAGTTAACTAATTTAAACGGGTTGTAATCGAGTTATTATTGGTTTATTTCGGGTTTGCTTAACCAAAACATGGTTTGAGAATGATTGGGAAATAGTAAACCAATAATAACTAACGTTTGTGTGTAATTTGGTTTCGAACTTTCAATTTTTTTGGGAAATTGAGTTTAAACTTTTGAATGGTGGAGAATTTGATTTTGAGTTCTAAATTGAGGTGCAATTAGAAAGAAGGCCAAACTTCATGTGGATATGGTGCTATATGAGAGTTTTGAGAGGGAAATAGGTCGTTAGCTCAAAATATTTTGAAGAATTTTCTAAATACACAATTTTCTCCAAATTTGATAAAATTCTTTATAATATTAACAAAATTTCTTAATTAGTAATGATCAGATTTCGATAAATATCAAACTTTATTTGAGTAGATTACAGTTTGAACTATAAACTTAGAACCAATAATGTTCTGTGATAGAAACTGATAAACATCTAATAATTTTGATTACAGGATTTGTCTATATATGTGGATTTGAGTCCAAGACCATAACCCCTCGATCTTTGATGGCTAAATTTCATTTCAGGGCGAGTAGCACAAGTTCAAGAGTTAGAATTCACACTGTGTTTATGCTTTTCTCTAAATAACTTTTTCATTTTTTTTTGTTAAAAATACTTCACAGATTTTTTACTTCTCACTAATAAAATTTAGATATTTTTAGTTTTATCATTTTTAACGTATTACTAAGTCATATCAAATAATATAAATATTAATTATAATATTACTACTAGACATTAAGCTGAAAACAGACAAAACTACAATTTAATATGTCTGAGTTTTGAATCTTTTGACAGTAACAGCCTATTTGATGATGCTGCAAGCTACTAAGTTTAAGGTTGCGTTTGATAAAATAGAATTTGAAAACAAGCTCTACAATGATGATTTTATAGAAATAAAGAATAACGAGCTGGATACATATTTCAAAGATGCTGTCGAAAATCCTAAAATTTTACTTTGAATCGAGTATGATGTTTTGTCTTGGTGGAAGGTTAGTGTTGACAAGTTCCTAATATCATCAGAAGTAGCTAGAGATATATTTGGAATAGTAATGCAGGTGTCCTCTGTTGCATCTAAGAGTGCATTTAGCACTAGTGGGCAAATCATTGATCTGTACAGAAGCTATTTAACTCACTACATGATTGAAATGTTGATGTGAACAGAGCAATGGATGAAGTATGAGATTAAAATGACTAAGAAAAAAGTAGTTACAACCGCTATTCTTCTTGCTGATGCTGATTTACACACATAACTTGACAAAAGTGAGTTCTTGTTTAGTTTAAATCTTTATTTATAATCTTGTCTTTTCACTTTTAAATTTTAACATTCAGATTTTTGATTCTTTTTAAATATTCAGAAACTGATAAACATCTAACAATTTTGATTACAAGATTTTTCTATATCTGTGGATTTGAGTCCAAGACCATAACCCCTCGATCTTTGATAGCTAAATTGCATTTTAGGACGAGTAGCACAAGTTAAAGAGTTAGAATTCACACTGTGTTTATGCTTTTCTCTAAATAACTTTTTCATGTTTTTTTTTTGCTAAAAATACTTCACATATTTTTTTACTTCTCACTAATAAAATTTAGGTATTTTTAGTTTTATCATTTTTAACATATTACCAAGTCATATCAAATAATATAAATATTAATTATAAGTATTACTACTAGACATTAAGCTGAAAACAGACAAAACTACAATTTAATATATCTGAGTTTTGAATCTTTTAACAGTAACGACATATTTGATGATGCTGCAAGCTACTAAGTTTAAGGTTGCGTTTGATAAAATGGAATTTGAAAACAAGCTCTACAATGATTATTTTATAGAAATAAAGAATAACGAGCTGGATACATATTTCAAAGATTTTGTGGAAAATCCTAAAATTTTACTTGGAATCAAGTATGGTGTTTTGTCTTGGTGGAAGGACAAGTTCCCAATATCATCAGAAGTAGCTAGAGATATATTTGCAATTGCAATGCAGGTGTCCTTTGTTGCATCTAAGAGTGCATTTAGCACTAGTGGGCGAATCATTGATCTGTACAGAAGCTGTTTAACTCACTACATGATTGAAATATTGATGTGAACAGAGCAATGGATGAAGTATGAGATTAAAATGACTAAGAAAAAAAGTGGTTACAACCATTATTCTTCTTGTTGATGCTGATTTACACAAATAACTTGACAAAAGTGAGTTCTTGTTTAGTTTAATCTTTATTTATAATCTTGTCTTTTCACTTTTAAATTTTAACATTCAGATTTTTGATTCTTTTTAACTATTCAGAAACTGAGAAACATCTAACAATTTTGATTACGGGATTTGTTTATATCTGTGAATTTGAATCCAAGACCATAACCCCTCGATCTTTGATGGCTAAATTGCATTTTAGGGCGAGTACCACAAGTTAAAGAGTTAGAATTCACACTGTGTTTATGTTTTTCTCTAAATAACTTTTTCATTTTTTTTTGCTAAAAATACTTCACAAATTTTTTTACTTCTCACTAATAAAATTTAGGTATTTTTAGTTTTATCATTTTTAACGTATTACCAAGTCATATCAAATAATATAAATATTAATTATAAGTATTACTACTATAGTATTTGAACCGATCCATAATATAGTATTTGAACCGATCTAAACCTAAAAAGTACCGAACCGAATATGATCTGAATTCTAAAAATATCCCCGATCGATACTAATTATTAAACTTCCAAAATATCTGACCCGATCCGATACCGAATGCTCACCTTTAGTAACATATATAACGTATAAATTAGATGTTCTTTGGTAGATTAAAGAAAAGCACTTTAGTTCCTTTGAGTTCAATTCATAATCCATTTGAGTACATCATAACGTGTTTGGGTTTTTAATGGGTTTAACTTAAAAATAATAAAAGTTAGTAAATGATGTGTATTAATAAAATGTTTTGATTGGTGTTTTTTTTTGCTGAGGTGTCAACTTTAGAAAGTTTGAAAATGCTAATGTGTCAACCTATGGAGAGACACTTGTGTTATTATTGTGTTGATTTAGTAGATTAACTTTTTTGCAATTTAAATTTAAATCTTAAAACATACCTTTTTAAATAACAGATTCTCACATACAATTTTTTAAAAGACTATATTCTCATCATCAATGGGTTGATTGGGCCCAAGGATGGTTGTTCTGAATACAAAATTTTCTCCAATTTTAATGGTTTTTTAATATAAATTTAACAAAATTTCTCAATTATTAAAATTAATCAACTCTATAAAAGTTTAACTTCCACTAAGTCCTCTATATTATTTTCATAAACCAAAAAAAACCTAGAAAGCCGAACCGAAACTAATTAAATCCGGATTAATGTTTAAAGCTCTTTTAAGGATTAAATGTTGCTACTCCTTGCCAAAGTCAACGCATTTCTCTTTTGGTTTTGAAGAAGAAGCTCGTAGTTGAAGAACCATGGAAGCTATCACCAAAGCACTTCCGATCTTCTCTCTAACCACTCTATGAGTGAGATCCAAAGACAAGACTCCAACTTTCTCTGTCAAGACATCCTCTGCAACAACTTTAACCAACAAAAACAGACCCAAGCTAAGAGTTGTTCTCGTGATCTGTTTGATTCTTCTCGATTTAGATACTCTTTTGCTGTTAATCAGATTAACTGCAAAAGCTAGTGTGTACAGAGGAAACCAAAAGTACCAATCTACAAACACACACAAAAAAATGTTGAAATTTACATTAATCTGTAGAGAGATATAGATTTGAAAAAAAAGTTTGTGTTTTCTTGAATACCAGGATCGTTAAGCTGGACAGATGCAGAATAAGCAAACAAAAACGCCATTAAAAGAGAGCAAACCCTAAAAATATTTCTTGGTTTTTCCATATGTTCCTTCAAATTTGAGATAAAACCAGATCACTGGGATGATATGTTGATGAATCTTCTGCTAAACCGTATCAAGAACCGACCAGAGTCAAAATGAAACCAGGTTCTTTGGTAATTTCCGGTTATCGTTGACAGCCGCGGGTAATGCGTTTCAGGCTTGAAAGTAGTTCCAAAAGGCCCAATTAGTTATTTCTTCTACGTGTTTTACAAATTAGGTTTTGTTGATGAATATCTGCGCACGTAAACATTTATGTTTTTTCACATATTTTAGAGTGATTCTACATATATATCTTCACCAGAAAAATTAGATGGATGAACTTCATACAGAATCAAACAAAACATTGTTTAGTGATTACATATGTCACATTATTGGCTTATTGCCATTTTCCTAATTTTTATTTTCTTTCTTGCTCTTTACCTAACTTACTCAACATCAAAACTATCTAAATAAAATAGCAAAACGGTAGAAAAATATGAATTTTATTTTTAGGTACTTTATTTATTTGAAAAAACGTGATATTTTTTGTAGTATTCTTTTTCATCTTGTCAACATTTTCTTGGATGATTATGTGACACAGTGGCAGTCTAAGGTAAGATAATACTACTTATGTAAAAATATGCAGATGCCATAATATATGTATGAGGCCACACTTCACATCACATGGAGATAAGACAACAAAAAGATACGGTCTATCCTCGAAATTTAATTATTCCAACGATAGTGTACCTTCACTGTTCCCCAATCATTCTATTATGTAATCTAATACATTTATTGTATTTGTATATATCGTTGTTATTTGTTTTGATGCACACATATAACGTATTTATTTTGTAACGTATTTATGTCGACCAGCACATGTCTCATAGGATATAATATTAGCAGCAACGTTACTGCATCGCCAACTATATTAAAATCGAATAATACTTGTTCGTGACGAAAAATATATAACGGTTTTAAACTTTTTTATTGGTTATCAAACAAACGATATGAACAGAATAGCTTAATGCATAATAATTTAGCTGGTTATTATTTTTATTTTTTACTCATAATCTACTAGCTAGATATTAAAATTAAATTTGAATTAACAATTAAAATCATCATGTATCAATTGAAATAATTGACTGAAATAAACTTTACTAAATCATTCCATTCTTGGAAAGAAAAAACCCCCTAAAAGACAGTTACATCCAAAAAAGTTGTTACAAATCATAAAGAATAAACCCCCTTAGTCATTAACATGTGCTTGTAATAAAGAATAAAATTTACCAAAAATAGACTAAGTTCAAGACTTAGGCATTTGTTCATATGTAATTATGTGTGTGGTCGAGTGTTTAAACAAGTTTTTGATTATTGATTTTAGTGAGGGGACCTGTTTGGTCATAAAGTATGATTGTGTGATGGGTAGTCATCCGATTCGGCGATCGCTAAATTCCATGATATCATGGGCCCGGGCCCAATATTATTTTATATAGGCCCCGCCTGAGAAAATCATAGGGTCACACAAGTTGGTATTTTCTTCTACACTACTTCTACTACATTTTAATTAAGGGAGCTTTACAATTATAGGACGATAAAACGATTTTTACCCAAAAAAATATCTTAAAGAAAAAACATATCGACTATAATTGTAAAGTTCTACGTTTGTATGTCGTGAACGATGTTTCGTAATTTGTAATTGGTGTTAAACTATTTGTTAAATACGGTGTCAAAAACAACTAAAGAACTATAGTTGTTACTTGTTGAACAGTAAATTCATATACATATATACATATATGAATTATTAATCATAGATAATTAAAGAAAACATAAGAACGTAACTGAAATTAACACAAAAAAACACGTAGTTGAATTAGCATTTCTAATGAAATTATAGAAATCTTTTTTTTATTATAACTAAAAACGTTCTGTAAATTCAGTTTTTCATTGTTCACTATTATGGTTAGATATTAAAAAAATTGAACACAAAATAAATTCATTCGATATTTCATTTCATTTTATAAGACAGAGAACCAATAAATTTCTATATTTGACAAATGATAGTAGCTTTAAATATTAACCAGGAACCCATATTTTCAAGGCCAGCTTAACCACTTGTATAACTCACATGAAAAAAAAATACAAATTCGAGAACTTAAGTAGTATATAGATAGAGTGATCAAAAAGTAACTTATTGAAATTTTATGTATGCATGACATAAAAATCCATGATGCGTACGAGAACCACGCTATATTATGTATAGACACAAATTCTTTCGCAAAAAAATATTTGTATAGACTCAAATTCTTTCGCAAATATATATATATGACAGCACATGTATACGCTTGCATATGGATTATTAAAAAGGCAGGCCCTCCAATATATTAACATCATGAATCTAACACTCATGCATATGGATTTTCTTGTCACGTATATTTATTATTTTTTCTTTTAACAAAAGACAAAATAAATTGATATATTGAATTTATGTATACCAGCCAAAATATAATAATAAATTTAAACGTATTATGAATTTTTCCCAATTAAAATTGTTTTTATAAGAGTATGGCAGCTAAAGGACAGTAGTCAGACAAGAAGGGTTAAAACATGGACCACTACGATTGAAATAAATGTACTTAAGTAAATTAATATCATTTGCATTTAATGAGTTTATTAGGTCAGGCTTCACTTCTATATATGTTCATAAAATTACAAAAGAAATAGATTAAGCGTTCATAAAATCATTTCAGTGTTATTGTCATTGTTCGTGCAAAATCATATGATTCGTTAGTCTACACTGTTAGACACATAAAAAAACAATATCCACACAAAAACTTGCAACCTCCAGATGAAGAAATGAAATAAACTTCTTTTTGAAAGTGACCCTCCTCATTTCTCTACATAAAAAAAAACTTGACGAATTTTTTTCCACCAATCACTAATTTAATCATCAGCAATCCTAATCCATAAGTATAAAATATCAACAAATTACACATACATTGTAGGTATATGTACTTTTTTGCCAAGTAATTAATCTAAAATTACCAATCCATATATTCTAGTTTTGAGTTGACTGATAATTCTACAGCTCATATATCACATATATAAATTTTTTTTCGTATATTATCTTTTCATTCGTATGTGTACATGGAAAATTATGTTTCAAATTTACATATAACCCTAAAATTCCACACACAGACAAAAAAAATCATTTATGGGCATACTTTAACAGAAATACAAAAAAAGTTATTCATGACATGCATTATGCATACATATGTCTATTACTATTATAATAATTAGTATTGTACTCACGTAATCTTTTTATTAACCAAATGTTAGCGGTATTGGCATGTAAGAGTACACGTCATAAATCATACATTTCGTGAACGGGATAAATTATTAGGTTTAGATACTCTGTTACTGGTTGCACTATACATACATAATACATTTCACAAATATCGAAATGTCAAATAATTGAAACGAATATAATATACCTTGTCAAATTTGGGATCATTCTCCAAATGTAGAATATATACTTAAAACAGAATTTCATGCAAATTTATATGGAATTAGGTGAAACGTAGAAGTTATTGTCTAATAACATTATATTGAAGTGAATTTTAAGGAAGCCCTTTTTATAAACAAATTAAGTAATGAGTCCCTATTATAAACAAAGTAATGAGTAGCACAATGCAATGAGGTTAATGCCTTTTTGTGGAATTAAAATGTCACCGTCTCGATTGAGATATGCCCAATATGACATATAACCAAACCTTTGGAGTTTTAGGGAATTGTGCTGGAGAAAAGGAAAAAAAAAACACGTAAATTATATTTAAAAAATAAGGACATTTTAAAAAAAAACGAGGACTTAATTAAATCACGTCCAAACTATTTAAATATAAGTTGAAAGATAATACAATTGTTGATAAGTTGATCTAGTGTCCCAAACATATTTTTTGCCATTACTGATAAATTAAGTAGCACATAGTTGTAGTAAGTAGGGATTAGTTGAGATGATTAATTTGATTAAAGCAAAATATTGATGTCACTTAATTGACATGGCGTCTTCTTACTAGTTTGTCGTATATTAGTAAAATCAATTGGAAGAGATACTTAAAAAAGTCTATCAGTTGAACAAAAAAAAAGGTTCTATCAAATGGAATAATTCTTAAGAAGTACAAAAAATTTTTATTACAAATTTTTAAAACACAAATTTGGCAGGGGCATCAATCCTGAACAAGAACATATTTTAAAATATGTACATAATCAAAATCAAAGATTACAGAAATTTCGTAGGGCTATGAACAAAAAAATCATTTTTAAGATATGAAATTAATAATGGTCTAAACAAAAGTTATAGAAACTTAACTTGGTAAGGACATCAATTTTAAAAAAATAAACAAAAATATGTACATAATTACATTTAAAAACAAAGTTATCAAACTTTGGTAGCTAGAGGTATATATATATATATATATCATTTTATATATGTATTTCTCTTCTTCTTACGAGAGGAAAAACAGTCAAAAATAGAACCTTTAAAAGTATGTGAAGAGACCAAAAAACATATTCCGATAAGCAAAAAAAAACCCACTATAATAATAAATTGATAAATAAAATGGAGAAACGACGAAGGCTGTCTAAAAATCTCCAAAGTCTCTAACGGAGAAAGAAGGGTTCTTATTATCAGGCATATTGCCAGCGTGGCGTAGACCAAGCGTGAGTGACACGTCACCAGCCTGTTTGGTCCCGAATCTAATGACGCCATCGTCGACGTGGAAATCACTGACGTCTTGCTGACACGTGGCGACGGTGAAAGCGTCTGAAACGCCGTGAGGAGCGGCGGCTGCGACGGAGGACGAAGAAGGAAGGAACGAAGTGTCGTTTTCGTGATGTGTCGACGTCATCGTCGTTGTTGTTGTTGTTGGAGTTTGTGCGATTATTGTCTGAACGAGAGTGAAGTTGCTTTCATTGTTGGGTTTCGTGTCGTTGTTGTTTGTTTGTTGATGTCTTCTTTGTTGTTGATAATCTTCTTTTTGATTTTCTTCTAATTCTTCTTCTTCTCTTTCTTTTGCTTCTTGTTGATACATCTCTTCAACCATTGGTTTCCATAGACGAACCCTAGCATTTATAAACCAATTCGA